CCGTTCGACACATACGTTCATGTGCAAATAAATGAAATTTATAACGAAATTCATCGTCGATAATTTTCTTGTTTTTCGCTGAGAAATCTTGAGAATTAGTAGGCTCATTTTGCATATCATTATCATCGGATGGTAGAATTTCCGAAGCTATCTTTTCATCATCATCACTGGAACTGCAAGTAATGTTACCATTAGGTAATGGATTTTCTTCATGATTATCAATGCAAGGCTTTTGAGAATCATTATCATCGTTGTTGCTGCTGCTATCATTATCATCATTTTCAGTCTTAAGGTTTCGTTTTTGTTGTTGATTTTTTAGCTTAATTTGTTTACGTTCGGCACGACGAGCTGCTTTTTTTTCTTGCCGCAATTTTTTTCTTCCAATCAATGATTTATCATCATATTCATCATTATTGTTGTTGTTGGAAGTTTGTTGTTCATCACAACTTTCAACATCACCATCACATTCATCATCATCGTCATCATCATCGTTTTTCTTATTCTTTCTATTCTTTTTCTTCATTTTGGTTGATTGTTGTTTGACATTCGGAAGTTTTTTGACATTGTCATTCGGTGGACACGATGATGATGATAATTTGGATTGTGGAAATGTAGTATCCAATGATAAAGCCAAATCAATAAACGGTTCAAATGTAAATGAACGATAATCACAAACATTACAATGTATAATTGATAATAATTGGCCACCAAATATAGAATCAATAACAGTATGTTTAGCTGTTATTTTATAACGTTGAGCATTTTCACGATCTTCAGCCGTTGGATTACGACGATCTTCAATTCTTAATCCTTTCAATAGAGCATATTTTTGTCGTAGAATTTCAGATTTTTTTAATGAATCCAATAATGTTATTAGTAATTCTTGTGCATCTTGTTGTGCATAACCTTCAAATTGTTGTTTTTCACGTTGAATATCACTTAATAATGCACGTGGATTTGTTGATCTATTGTTTTTGGGTTAGAAAATCAGTTTTGGAAGAAAAAAACATTCACAATAATGATAATAACTTACTTTCGTGCAAAAATCTGTTCCTGTAATTGTAGAAAATCAATTATCAATGAATTTGGTGGTGGTAATGATAAATGTAATGATTCACTTGTAAATGATTGTTTTGATTCATTCCAATAGAATGTTTGTGCATTCCAACGAAAATCTGGTTGACAACGTTCACGTAGATAATGATGTAATAGATATGTTTGTGCCATTACTTGTTGAACCGAATTAAAATAACATGTATTACCTAGGTTAGGTAAACCTGATGGTTGATTCATTAAACATGCAGAATGGCCTTGCATCGATGATGATGATGATGAGGGTGCAGATGATCGTATAGTAACACCATCAATTTTTTCGCTTAATAAATCAATCGTTTCACCACCACCAGAATCATTATTATCAGCTGTTTTTGAAGAATTTCGTTTCGATTTTATCGTTGTTGTTTGAGCAAATTTTTTATTTTGAGCACGACGTTGTTGTTTACGATTTTTTTTGGCCATCGTAATAATTACATTGATTGGATTTTTAATCAAAAAAAACAAAAGATTTCGATAGAATGTTCGAAGAACGTTGATCACGAATTCAAACGTGATCGTTATGATTGTTTGAATTAAATCAATGATGAATCAAATTGAAAAAAGTGTAAAAATTTTCAAGTTTTGTTTTGAAAACGCACACACACGTGCGCTGGATAATTTTTTTCAAAAAACAAAGTTTACCATCAAGAACTTTGAAATTGAAATTTTTGGATTTTTTTTTCGATTTTTTGTTTACGCAGATTATCAGAACCAAACAAATGTAATCACGTGATTTGTTTGATGTTACGTTCATAACTGACGTTCCGAATTCAAAAAAACTTTGAGCGGGAAATTTTTTTGAATTTTAAAAAAAAACTAAATCAAAATAGAAAACAAAAAGATACCCAAATATAAAAGAAAAAGAAATCCAGATCATTGATCAATTTATATTAATAATGAAAGAATGTTTTGCACAAAAAAAGAAAAAAAAGAAAATACAAAGTTTTAGTTGACAATAATAATAATCATTTTTTAAGCATAAAATATCACATTTAAATAAATTGGCAATTTGTTTCAAATTTGCAATGAGAGCTTCTCTTTTTTTAGTTTGTTTGTTTGTCCAAACATTTTTCATCGTCAATTGATGGCGATTTTTCCCTCCGTAAAGTGGCCATTTCATCATCGTCGATTGTTTTGATCGAAATGTCCAATAAGAATTTGAAAATTGAGATGATCCGTGTGAAAAAAAATAATAGTAAGGAAGAAGAAGAAAACTTTGAAATCATTTTTTTTTGTTTTTGTTTTATGTGATCAACAATCAAGTTTTTTCTGTTTGTTTGTTTGTTTTTTAACCCATCGATACCACACACAAATAAATCAACATTTGGATATCGGCTTGATGGAAAAAATTCAAAATTAAAAAGATTTCCGATTCAATCTCAATCAGATATCAATATCGAATTGTGGCTGTTCATCACGATGATGATGATTGTGATGTTTTCTGTTAACATTATTATTTTTAATAATTTTCTGTGTGGTAATTTTATTTTTAGTTGGATCCAATATATCATATTTAGGATTTTGTTCATTTGGTTC